CACACACACACACACACACATCAAATGCACAACAAATAATGAGCCTGAATCAATCAATCAGCCAGCAGAGAGGTAAATAAGTGTCGTCTGCCGGTTGAAGGCAAGCATCCGTAAGCCAATAACTGAAACAGCAGATGCAAGTAGGGCAAAGGTTTACAGGAAGGCTTCTTTTTTTTACTGGCTAATTAAAGTGACCACACTGTTGTCCCATCTGCCACCGCAGATTATTGGCTGCCATGTAAGCATGCTAATGCGGCGAAGGGACCAGGTACCAGTAAACACACTCCACATGCTTGTTAGGGGACTCGTTCACATTCAGATAAGCACTCGGGCATCGCTTTAAACAAAGATTAAGGCTCTGAAAGTGAAATCCTGTTGGCTTATTTGTGCAGAGGCGTTAGGGGAGCGGGGAGATATCTTTCGAACTTGCAGCCCGAACCCCGCGTTCCCTTTGGGAGTTGCTAAGAAGCATTGACGACGCGGGGAAATTGCAGCAATCGAGCATGATGTCAGCGCGCCATACCGCTGGAATGGCAACAGCCGAGCGAGGTAGGGCCGAACATCCCCACTTCGATGAGCGCTTTTTAAGGACATAATGGAATCTTTGTCTTTACTGCCACGCCGTTGCTTGGCAGCAGGAACGGTAGCCGCCGGATGCCCGATGAGAGCCATCTATCTGGACAACCCCTGCCATGCAGACAAATTCATCTGGCTCTGCGGGGACCTGTGCAGGACCCAATCAGGGATAAGCTTCATATATTTCCCCCCTAATAGAATTGCTGTACTTCATCTCACTCTGGCTTCAGCACATTGACTCTTGTATTGCGAGCTACTATCTCACTAATTCACTTTTAGCCTTGAGGAGCGAGTGCACTGTATCTGCACTCTTTATTATGCCGGGGAACCTGTGCAAAAACCCAATAAGTCTACGTAAAGGTCAGAAGGTGACCCCGATGGAAGACGTGGACAGGGGAAATGCCGGAAATAGAAAACTGCTTCAGGTTTAGGAAGGATAAAGCAAAATGAACTCCCCTCAGCTATCTCCAAAACAGTGTAAACTGTATAAATGTGCATCAGGAATGCGAGGAAGGCCAACATGAGTGAGAAACACCGCTGAGCTTAATTCAGAGGCATCAATGGAACATTTTAAATATGTGATAAATCTTTGGAATGGCTCTTAAATATTTTATTCCTCCCCTGGCAGCGACTCTGCCCTCGTCTGCACTATAACACTGGGACCATTAAAACGTACCGGATTTTCTCCAACCAATTTAATGAGAAGATAAGCAGTCAATGTAAAATCCCCCAGACTCTTTTTTCCCCAGCCCCGTCCTTTTGCATACTGAATGCCTATCGCCTAATTATGGCATCAACTCGGGCCCTGGCTCTTGATTTGCTGTCCCTCTCTGTCACACTTCAGCAGCTGCAAAGAGGAGGACGAGTTCATGAAATAGAGGTTACTGAAGTTGTGACGAGAGCATTGTTTAAGGGCTTCACACCTTATGGGTTCCCCTTCTGCAAAGCAAAAGTAATGTATCAGACGATCTTTTTCTGACGAAGACAAGGTCAAGCGTCGCAGAGAAAAGGCACTGAAGTGCTCTGATGAAATGGAAAAGCAAAGAAAAGAATGTGAGAAATAGAAAAAGTGGGGGGAACAAGGTATCGATTTTGAAGGTTACTGAAAGATTGTGCTGATTGCAGAAAATTGCTGGCAAAAATCTATTGCTTTCACTAAAAGGGATAGTTACTGGTTTCTGGACGCTTCAGGGAAAAAATGCTCCAGGCTGCTGTACATGCCACTGATATCTCCTTAAAGAGAAACAGTTTGACAAAAAATGTCCAAGTTTGCTTTATTAGATTTACTCTGATCACTTGGATCACCCATTACTGCAGCTTACTGTGAAGTTTTAAGAAATTGGAGCAAAGGGTTAAACTCAGTACCCAGGCAAAGGCTTAGTACAGTGATGGTGGCTGTGGCTCCTCTAGTCCACATGCCAAAATATCCTTCGACAAGATACTGAACCCCCGAGCTGTTGGGTTAAAAGTGCACAGGTATAGAAAAGGGTACTTGTTTGAATGACGTTTGTAGTAAGGAAGCGCTTTGAGTGCTCAAATAGAGTAGAAAAGCACTACTAACTCAAAAGCTGCATTGGGACAAATTGGAATCTTCACCGTGCCAATTTTGGCCTAACCTGGCTCCGTTTTTTTGCTGCCTCTGCAAGCTGCTTTGCAACCCACCTCAATTCCAGCTCACCCTTTTCATTGCATGTCTGACCCAGTCGTGTTTGTTGGTTGTCTGCTGGGTGATAGCGTTGATCAGAATAGAAATCAGAAACTGGCTGTATTGTTCCATACAACTATACTCAGTATTGTCTGCAATATCTTTTTAACCCTATGACCATGATTCTCAGCTAGAAAAGGGTGGAATGCCCACTTTGGGTCTGGAAGGAGTTGTTGTCAAGGGTGGATGAGTTTAAGTATCTTAGACAGTACAGCTGCTACTCCTCCACATCGAAAGGAGCCAGGGGAGGTCATTCAGGTATCTGACTAGGAAATCAGTATTTTTCCCCCTGAATTCGCTGAATGTCACTGTGAATGCTTTCTGTGTGGACATAGCTTTCAATACTTTTAAATGCACTTTTATAAAGAATATGGGAGTTGAGATTCTTCACTCTTGCACATCTATCGTTTTTTCTTAGCATTGGGTCCAAAAGTCCCGTTTTATTAAGCCTCTGGTAAAGACATATTTTAGAAGACAGAAAAGTCTAGCATGGCTCATTTTTCCTTCGTGAATGAAAAGTTAAAAAAAAAAAAAAAAAAAAGTGAACACAGGTGCCCTTTTCCAGGGCAACAGAGTTCAAACCAGAGAGGAAAAAACATCCAGGGGTCTCTGAGTCCAGACTCTGACTCCGAGCTACAGACTTTGAGTAAAATCTACTCAAACTCCTGTCATAACTTTTACAGCAAAGAGACAATAATTACTCGATGACCAGATGCTTTGGCCTTTTCAAATGAAAGTAGGACAACAAGTAATGCAAGGGACTCGAAATAAGTCAAACCTCTGAAGGATTAAGCGCATTTCTTCACTGATTACAATTTCTTGCAGATGGCTTGTGATGACCTGCAGTTTAGTGAAAGGAAAGCGTGTGAGGTCATCTCTTTAAAACCTTTTATTACCCAAGGATTATTCATCTAGCGTGGTGTCCAACACATCCATAAAGTCTCAAATAAGAACAGAAAATAAATGGAAAAGCAGTTCAAGGATTTATGTGTGGGTGGTTGCTCTTAAATGGGGTTAAGAAGTAAAATTTTTCTTCTTTAAAATGTTACAGATACTGTGCCGTGAAAAAGTATCTGCCTCCTTCCTGATTTCTGAGGGTTTTTTTGCAAATTTGTCACACTTTCATGTTTCAGATAACAAAGCAAATTTGAATATTAAACAAAGAAATGGATAAGGGACAACAGTTATCCAAACCTACTTGTTAATGCCCATAAACTTAAAAAGTAGTTGTTCCGCCCTTCGCAGCAAGAACTGCAATCAAGCTTCTGTGATAAGTGCAGGTGAATCTTTCACATCATTGCAGATGAATTTTGGTCCAGTCTGCTGTTAGTTTTATGTCAGATGTAAAAGGACCCAAACCTTCCACAAAGTTCAGCTTTTGTCTCGTCAGTCCACAGAATATTTTCTTCTTTTCAAGATGTTTTTGGTAAATGTGAACTTTGACCTTAACCGAGGTCAAAGTTCAAAGTGAGGCCTGTGGTTCTTTAATGTTGTTCTGGTGCAGTAATTTTGGTAGGCTGGTCACTCGCCACTGATACAAGTTTTCTCCATGTGTGTATAATGGCTCTCACTGTGGTTCATTGGAGTTACAAAACCTTAGAAATGGCTTTCTAACCCTTTCCACTGACACATGTCAGTGCCTTTGTTTCTCAGCTCTTTAGATCGTGGCCTGATGTGTTGCTGTTTGAGGTCTTTTAACCTGCTTCACTTTCTCCAACAGGTTCTATTTAAGTGATTTCTGGATTCAACAGGGCTGCCAGTAACCAAGCCTGAGTGAGTCTTGTGAAACTGAACTCAGCTTTCTAACAAATGTGGTTAATCATCAAAGAAAAACTGAATTTTGTACTTACTCAGGGTAAAACAACTAGACAAACAACAAAGAAATGAGGTGGGGGGCAAATACTTTTTCACAGCACTGCATAAAAAGGAGATCAAATCACTCAAGTGAAACACAATCATTTTATAGACGCTCGTACTTTTCATCACCTCCCACACAGGGTTACAGAGGGCTGAATACAATATTTGCTGATGCTGAATAAATCAGGATCAGTATCATAGCAACTTTGTAATTCGTCCTCTATTTGTTTTTATTTATTCCTTTTGTTCAAACGTAATGAGTGAGGGCTGAAAAAATGGGATTTAAAGCCCGCTCTGTGCTCCTGGGTTCTTTTACCTGGAGAATTGCAGCTGCAGTGAAACCACCTGCGCCTGACCCAGCTCGGACTCCTCCGTCACTTCCCGGAGACGCTTCTCGCTCTCCAGTCGCAGGCGTCGCTCTTCCTCTAGCTCGTGGATCAGCTTTTCTCGCTGTGGGAAAGAGCAGAAGGACGATCAACTCTCAGGCAGTGCGTGGCCTGGGGCTAAAAAGATCACCCTCAAGTCACATGCCACAATTTTTACGACCCCCTTCCCCGAATATTCGACCCTCCTCGGATGAGGGCAAGCAAACACAGGCTGTCTCAGCATCATAATCACCAAAACATCTGCTCACCAAACATCTGAAACCAAACACAGCTTGTCCTAGCTGAAAAAAACAATCCACGCCTCGCCGCTTTTTCCCCTGACTTTAGGTGTGAGAGGAAATAAAAGAATAAGGGCATGATGACATTTAGGCCGCCTCGATTGGCATTACTTCCAGTAGTTTGTTGTTACTTTGAAACACTCATAATGAGCCTCCGCTTCTTTCTGTTTCTATGACAGAAAGTTCACACTAAATGTCATCTGAAATCACTGAGCCCGCCCTCCCGTGCCTCAGTCTTTCTCCTGCTTTTCATTTCATTTCAGATCTATTCAGAAAATGCTTCCCGATATCACTGAAGCTATGAATAGCATGTTTACCCTGCTCCTCTCTTCCTCACACCATGCAAACCGTCCTCTCTTCTTCTGCGTGTTTCACCTTGTTCCCCCCCCTTTACGTTATAGTTATGATGATGAGTAAACATGACCTCATTCGACCCAACTATTGATAGATCCTGAATTAAAAAGCTGGAGTTCCTCGGTAAGAGGAAGGAGGGATCACTTATGCCTACTTATCTCTGCTTTCCATTCCTTGATTTCAGAGCTTTATAAATGTTGCTTGTGGTGTATATGGTCTCCATGAAGCATTTAGCCAGTTTTCTCTGGTCTTTTCCAATTCTTTAATTGGATTCTTCATATCTGAAGGATTCTGTCTTTGGATCCCAAAAGAGAAAGACATCCTTGCCTCAAACCCAACTTCAAAGACTAAGGTCCCTGTGGTGGCACACTCCCTACTCCAGTTTTTTTGACAAAGTTGCAAAAAAAGCTTTAAGCAAATTCCTAGCAGCAAGGCGGAGGATTTTTTTTTAGCTGACGGAGCAAATAAGACGGGATCATTCTCTTGGTCTGGCAGTTTCTATTGTACATAAAGCCAAGCATCTGTCGCTGCTGCTGACAGTCTATGACAAAGCCACTGGCTTCCATTTCCGTAGATTTGGGTGATCTACCAACTGTCAAAGCCTTGCCAGGAATATCAGCTAAAAATACAAGATTGTAAAATATCTGCAAATGGGTCTGAGGCCAAAGACACACACTAGAAAGAAAAAGGGAGAAAGTTTCTTCTTTTGCAAACAAAGATGCAGTGTTTGGTGAATAAGAGATTCAACTTTGGCTTAACAAGGGTTGATTAGAGATGATTATCATCCTTTTATTTCCACCACCTCCCAGGGAGGTGGTGTATATGTGGATGTACAGTGCAAAAGTCTCGACTCACTTCTGATTTCTTTTCTTTGGCTAGGAAAATGGGACACTGTTCAAATGAACAGATACTGACACTTCTTTTGTCCGGTTTCCTCAAATTTTTTAAGGACACCCTGCACACCATTGTGAGATATGTTACATTTTCAGCCAATATCTCTTTGGGAATCACCTTGCTGGTGCAAAAGTACTATTTTATCTCTGTCAAACTGTGGTATCTTTGACATCTTTCACAGATTGTTACTAGCAGCCTGTCACAAAAACGCACAGAGGGCCTAAAGACACATCTTATAATTGGGTATTTGCAAAGTTCTCTGTTATGCATAGTCACAAGAATAGTTAATCCCCTGAGTTAAGTTTCTTTTTTGTGCTTAAATGACTCATAGGTCTGTGTAAGTGGCTCAACAAACAAATAAAACATTCATCTGAAAATGGTCAGTTACAAGGACTGGACTGAAAATGAGCAATAAAGGAGTCAACGTGCAAAAAAAGCTTCAGGAAGCCTAGAGAACTATTCACCCAGAGCACTTTAAACATTACCACAAAGTCTGGCTCTGTGGAAGAAAACATCTGAAGTGAATGCATTAGTATTTTAAACAGAGACTACTGTACATAAGTGAATAAAAGTTTTAAATAACCTTTTGAATAACGGCCTTCACTGTACTCTACAGTATATCTATGGAAACACATCTGTTACCTTGGGAATTCTCCTGCACCTCTCCTGACAGATTCCTTTAAACATCTGAAGTTTTGAAAGCTCTTTGCTGTAAAAGTAAGTCTCTGGATAATCCTCTGGATAAAACATTTGAACTTTATATAAGAGTTCAATGAGAATCAGTTCAGTTGTTTACAGATGTGTACTGGCTACTATTTAACATGAATCTAAATGTGATTGGTTAACTCTAAACAGAGGGTGTGCACACATGCTTAAATATTCTAGTTGTTTTGGAGTCAATCAGAGCTTAAGAGCCAATGGAAAATGTTGGGAATCACCAGATTATCCTGTCAGTTCTTCATCAGTTCTCTTCAGTGCAAATGGAATTACTTACTGCCCATCCTCATCGTCAGCACCAGTCATGATGTGGTATTACTCAGTGCATGCCTGCAAAGAAGCTGGAGTGCTTTCTCTCAGACAAGCATTATGGGGACATCTTGTGGCGTGAAAGAATATAGGTCAGAGACAGTGAGCGTGTCACTCTGTGTGGCATATGGACAAAACATCCTCCTCGACATGAGGCCCTCCTTTATGCCGGGTCTCTCGTGAAAAACCATGAAACCAAACTGGAAAGAAAAACATCGAAACAACTATAATGTGACACCGAGTCGCATTGCTCCATTACTCCGTATGACCATACTCTCCTTATAAACTGTCTTGTGTCACTACATTGTTACTTCTGTTACAAAAGCAGATCCTAACTGGGTGATTCAGCTGCTGAGGGGGAATATTAAACCAGAGTCACCATTAAAACCAGTCCCCGTCTTCACTGTGGCAGTAAATTCACGGCTACTATGTGCAGCGGGGAGGCTCTCCCTGTCAGGAGTAATGGCTGCTGTAAATCCACTCATACAAGAACGTAAAGTAGTGCATCCCCCTGCCAGGAGCTGGACGTGTATGTATGTATGTATGTATGTATGTATGTATGTATGTATGTATATATATATATATATATGACTTTTCTGGTTCTTCTTACTTTATGACACATAAAGTTGTTTTATGTTTTTTAGGACACATTTTCCACTTAGCGTTTAAAGAAACGGGCGCCGATTTCAGCCTCCAGCGTCGCAGCAGTTTAGCTGAATTTCACCTCGATGCAAATGAGCACAAAGGCCTTTTATTTGCATCAACATGCATGGCTTTGTTCAGCAAAACAAAACAAAAAAAGCGCAGTAGCAGCTTTAGTCCTGATTTTTTTGTTGCCCACACAGGCCTCCAGGCATAAACCACCGACCGCTACGTGTCTGCTGACAGTCTTGCCAACAACCTCAATAACAACACAGGATTTACAGTCTCTACATTGTAGTAAAAGCCCTGCGTTGCTTTTGTTCAATATATAATTTCTGCAATTTTACAAGGCCTGAGGACATTAAATCAAACATTGCTGTATCTTTCTGTGTCCAGAAATCCCCGGCAATACATTTCTCCTCGATTGAAATGTTTGTCTGCAGCAACTTCTCTCTTTTTTTTTTCCTCCTTTGGTGCTCTAATTGAAAGCATATTCTTTAATAAGCCTTCACTGCAGCCACAAAGACAACACTTCTTTAGAAAAAGCCCTGGGAAGAGATCTCAAAGTCAACACCGAGAGGATGAAAACACGCCTGGCAACTTTCTGTGAGAACATTTATTTTAGTTAATCCGGCCACTGAGGAGATAATCCCCGCTCTCTTGACAGCCTGTCGCTGTTGTATGGATGGGATGAGGCGAGGTGTGCTGCCTTCTTTGTCCTGCAGGGGGCAACATGCTCCTGTTCCATTAAACAATGCAGCGCATAGAAAAAAAAAGGAGAAAGAAGCCAATGTCAAATGAAATATGGGGTGTAATCTATAAAATAGCTCCTGCTGGATTTTTATACCACATATATCAGAAACAAGCCCAGATTTGGGCATCAGGGGGTGGGGGGTGAGGGGTGGGGGGGTTTGGGGATTAAATTTGACCTCTGCCACAGAGAGATAAATAAAGAAATATATCCATCTGTATGTGACAGAATTTATCACCATCAACACGCAAAGCCTGAGAAATAAATGAAGAATCTGTTACACCGAGCGGCTTTGGAACATAAGATTTTATTAGCTGCACTCGAGCCCAAAATGAAGCCTCCCGCTTCGGTAATTGGACAACATTAGATGGTAATGGTATTCATCCGAGCTGAATTACTAGAATACTCGGAGCCCCCCTTTCATACCCTCTAAGATCCATTGAGGACTCTAAATTAATTAGAGGCCTCTGCCTCTCCTTGTTGTGCTGTGCTGCGACCTTATCAGGTTAAGTGCATGTGTGTGTGTCCCATCGTGTTGTAGGATGTCCATCTGCAACTGTATATACACTGTACTCGTTCAGGGTTAGGGGGTACAGGCCCAATAATCTCTTCATTACACAGGACACCCCCCCCCCTGCCTCGGTTGGAGCTCTTTGCCTAATCAAAGGGGCCGGGAGCGGCTCGGAGGCTCGCTGGCAAAGCAAACATCGGGGACACAAAGCACTGCGCAGGTTCTCCATTCATTAATAAAACATGCCACCGGGCTGTTTGTGTGCATCAGCGAGGCTGGATTCAAATGAAAGTGTAACACGAGGAGGATCGGGCCTCCTGGCCTGCCTGGCTGGCTCCCAGATACAAGTCGTAAAGATAAAAATTATAATTATGCTCTTGTTTGTTTAGAAACAGAAGAGAAAGCATCAAAGTGCAGGAGTGTGTGTTTTCCAATTACTTGTGACTAAAGTAAGCCCAAACAGTGTTTTATCACCCCACCCCACCCCACACCAAAAGACTCCATCAATTCAATTATCATGGAGCGCCACTATTGGAGTGTACCACTGCTCTCTTAGACAGCCACGGGCACTGTGGCAAATAATACACACACCCCAGGAATATGCAAAA